CTTTTGCTGTGCAGAAGCTCTTTAATTTGATGTAGTCCCAGCTGTTGATCTTTCTCTTCACTATCACTGCTTTGGGTGATGTGTCTGTAAAGATGTCTTTGATGTGCAAATCCCGTAGTGTTTCGCCTATATTTCCTTCTATGTATTTTATGGTTTCAGGTCTTATGTCTAGTTCTTTAATCCATTTTGAGTTGATTTTTGTGTATGGTGTGAGGTAGTGGTCAAGCTTCATTCTTTTGCATGTAGCGACCCAGTTTTCCCAGCACCATTTATTGAACAAACTTTCTTTGCTCCAAGAATTGAAGAGATTTCTAACGATATAAATTTATGTGTTATGTGTTGATCGTTGAGAGAGTTGACTGTGAAGGGGATGGAGATATTTTAATTTTTTAAAGTTCTGCTCTGATTTTTTGCATTGACCTCAAAGAGGACAACTGTGTTCTTCCTTAAGATGCTTTTTAGAGTGTCAGCTGGCATCCTGACCCAGAGGAGTAGCTCTTCTGTTTTCATAGGAGTATTCTCTACATCTCTTTGGCAAGTCCTGATCCCTCAGGATTGGGTATGTAGGAGAATCAATATCATGTTAACACTTCAGGGAAGTGATGAGGGCCAGTGCTACAACAGCAGCCGGCAGCTCATGCCTTTTTACTAAAGAGTAGAATGGAAGGAGCCAGCCTCCTGTGGTTGGCAGAGGTGCCAGGGTATACTCTGGCTTCACAAATTCCTGCTGATGTCTGGTGACACTGGCCACCAAATTTGAATTCTGTGGCGATAGAGTAAACATGGAGGCATAAAGTAAGAAAGAAAGAAAAAAATCACTGCATCTTATTAAATTAAGCCTCTGTTAGACACCAGTTCAGTCATTTCTGTAAAGAAAACAGTAGCAATAAATAAGAATGAGATTCTTGATGTGTTTAACATGCAACATTTAGAAAAACCAAGGACTATTTTGTCTTATATTTTTAACATTCTTCTCTAAAAATAATACTTAACATCATTTAGCCATCTGAATCAAGGATCCAGGTGCATTCCAAGCAACAAATACATCTCCCTAAGTTATTTTATAAAGAACAGAAGCACCTGAAATTCAATGCCACAAGACCTTAATGTAGATGAGTTGTTTAAGTGGAATTTCCAAGTCTCAGGAGATCAGGTACTCTGTTTAGTTCATCATGCTCTGATACCTAGCTTAGTGCCTGGAGCCTAACAGATGCACAAACAACTAGATTAATAAATTAATAAGTAATGTAAGAATAGGTTGGCTATTTTTTCTATTTATAATTTTATGTACTAAGTAGAACTATTGGACTTCTATGTCTTAATGTGTCCATACCCATTAAATGCTTACTTAAAAACAAGATATTGTTCAGCATGGCTTAGTTTGCTCCTTACAAAGAAAAGAAAGGTCCAACTAGGTAATTTCAGTGGAAATGAGCATCTGGGGAGATGGAATTGGATTCTAAATTGGAGGCTCTAAGAACATTCATGCTTGAATTCTTCTGGGGTGAGAGAGTATCACCCTCCAGATCTTAAGAGTTCTTAAAAGGGAGGTGTAGTATTTCAGAAACAACCCTTTCAAGCCTTAAAGCCTTTCATCAAAGGCTTTTAAAGCACTTTGCCTGTAACAGGGTCCATGTCTACCTCCTGCCCAGCTTACACACATGCCTCCCTTTGAGGTCAGTAGAGGCTAATAGTGCTGAGAAAACAAGCCAATGTGTGTACTGAAGGCTACAAACTAGCCATATTTCAGTCTTGCATATGAGTGTGCACCTGAGACTTCAAAGAAGTCAGTATAGGCTAAAGGAAGTCAAGCATGAAGTCAAAAGAAAAGTGGCTACCAGATAAAGGGACCTTAGGTCTCACAAAGCCCTCTCTGAATGGAATAGTAAGGTATGAAAGGTAATGAGTCCTTTATCATTGGAAATATTCTAGCTGAGGCTAACAGACTGCGTGGTGGCAATATTGTGGTGAACAGGACCTGTACTCTAGACGGGAGGACCTGCTCCATGGTCTCTAAGAACCCGTATCTCTCCATGGAATTGGCCATCATGAATCTTCAATTTCCTTGGGCCCTCACCCACCCACATTTTCCCTGTCACTTAAGTTTAGTGAGAAAGAAGCAAGTGACTCTATCTCACAATAGGCTCGCTAGAATCAGAAAGGAATTTAAAAAGGAGCTTCTAGGATAGGTTTCAGGACTAGGGCACATTCATCACGAGTGTTTTAAATGAGACCCTGAGCCTGGAAGGAATCTGAATCACCAGTGATTCGGTTGGGTTTCCTATTCTATGCTTGTCAAGGCAGGACATGGCACTGGCAGATTTTTATCATATTCAATCAGTCATTGTCAGTGTTGAGTTTTCATGAGGATCTGTGTCTGAATGTGTTTGCTTCAGGGAAATAATTGTGATTGCTTAGTCTCGTGAGTGGCTCGCAAACCTTAGCGTGCATCAGAATCACCTCCAGACTTGTTTAAAGACAGATTGTTGGGCCCGCCCTCACATTTTCTGATTCAGTAGGTCTGGGATGTGGCCAGAGAATGCACTATTTAAACAACTTTCCAGGTATATTAGTTTTCTAATGCTGCTGTAACAAATTACCACAAATTTAATGACTTAAGATAGCATATATCTATTATTTTATAGTTTAGGAGAACCAAAGTACAAAATGGGTTTTGCTGGGTTTTGGCAGGGTGGTGTGGAGACTCTAGAGGAGAATCTGTTTTCTGGCTTTTGCAGGCACTAGCGGCTGTCTGCGTTCTATGGCGCATCGTCCCCTTCCATCTTCAAAGCCAGCAGTGACCAGTGGAGTCTGTCTCATGATGCCATTTCTCTGGTTCTTGACTCTTCTGCTTTCCTTCTTTCTGCCTACATAGCTTTGTGATTACACGGAGTAATTAGCAGTTTAAATTTTATCTGCAGGGTCTCCCCGGTGGTGCAGCGGGTTGAGCACAGCACTGTGAAGCTGTCTGCAGCCTCTGTAGCACGGGTTCGATTTCTGGCCAGCCGGAGAGATTCCCACATGGCATGGCCGACCTCTCCTGTCTCGCTCACTGCTTCCCTCAGCAGTGTTTTCAGTCGTCTGCCTGTTCTGCTGCCCGCTCTGTCTCTGGTGAATCCTCTTACCCTCCCATGCCTCTGGCCTGTACCCCAGCTCTTGTATAAATAAATAAATCTTAAAAAAAAAAAAAACTTCATCTGCAAAGTTAATTACTCCTAGCCATTTAACATGAGCTATTCACAACTTCCAGGGATTAGGATGTGAACATATTGGGGGCCATTATTCTGCTTACATCATACCAGGGGATGCTGATACTGCTGGCCTGGGGACCACACTTGCAGGACCTCTGGTTTGGTGATTGGGGGTACTGATTAGAAGCTGTATAGTTCCAGGGAGGATTGTTTATCAATAAAATTGGGCAGGAACATGCATGTCTAATAGGGAATTAATATTTTTAAGTAGTTTAAGATCTTCTCAAACTTTTCTGCAAGTACCACCTTATAAAATTTTAATCTCTGGATCCTTCTGGACATTCAAACAGAAGGACCAGACAGAGGCCTATTTCCCATGATTTCAGTTCTCTGCCATTCCCGTTAATCTATTTCACCCCTTGGGCTGCTATTGTCTTTGCTGCTGTTGTGATTATTACCCACCATGTTCCCCTTCTTTCACCTAGTAAAACCTTTTTACTTTTAGAATCCAGTTTGGAGTGTTCCTTTCTCATGGTGCCTTTCCTACTTGCTATAGCAGAAAATTATCATTTTTTTCTAGTTTACTAGATTCCCTCATAAAATAATTTATTCCCCAAAACAGTGCTGTGAAGTTGGTAGTAACCCCATATTCAGAGAGAGAGCCCAAGACAACAGCAAGGTTAGTGGAGTTGCTCAAATTTACCCAACACTTATGAGTTTGGAGAGTCAGTTTCTGCAATGAACTGAATATGTCCCCCAAATTCATATATTAAAACCTAACCCTCAATGTGGTGGTTTTTGGACAGGGAAACTTTGGGAGGTGATTAGTGCCTCATAGAGGAGACCCTAGAAAACCATGTGGGACATAGGGAGAGGACAGCCATTAGCCTGAAGTCAGGCCCCCACTAGATACTGAGTCTGCAAGTGTCTCGATCTTAGACTTCCCAGCCTCTTGAACTGTGAGAAGTGTTTGCTGTTTAAGCCACCTAGTCTATGATATTTCTGTCATAGCAGACTGAACAAACTAAGACCATGCCTTGCGCAGTGACCTAGAATCCAAACCTGTCCAGCACTGCAATGAAGGAGGGACATTTTAAGAGAACTCAAAGCTAGTGAATTCCAGGTTGGCTGAGCAAGTCTCAGCCTCAGGTAAGCAGAGGCTGTGATTTCTTCCAGTTCCTTTCTTGTCAGCCTATGTCAAAGGAAAATTCTCTCTTGTAATGCTGCTCTTTAAGGGGAGCATTTTTCAAAAACTCTTGTAAATGGAAATAGAATTCCTTGCTTGTGAATTTCACTTGTCAGATATAAATGCTGTCATTATAATTATTATGTGCAATTGAGATGAGTTGCTGTCATTCACAGCTTCATTCCTGGGGTTTTAAAGAAAGAGACTATTGGAGCGATGAGAATCACAGATTTGGAGAAAGGTTTGCAAAAATCGATGTGTTTGATTTAACAGCAATATATTTCCTGCAATCTGAAAACTTTGTATACTGTAACACAGGTGGTAATTATTTTCTTTCACTGAAAAAAAGACTTGATTATCAGGTCTATGACTATGACCTGAGTAAAGGTTATGTGATTAGACTAGCTCCATGGGAGAGGGAAGAGCCCAAAAACCTATAAAAAATTGTAACCTTAGGGTAGTAATTTTGTAAAACAAGTGGATGAGTAGATGGTGATTCAGCACCTGTCTTTTTTTTTTCTTTTAGCAAATGCATATTTTACTATTGGGTGGGTGAGAAGAATAAAAAGCAGATGGATATGGGATTAAGACATAGACTAATGCCTCCTTTTGTCTTTCCCTAGAAACTCTCCTGCTCCCTCTGCATTCACTTTCTGAGGATGTGGACGGATAGGCTGTGACCAGTGTTCACCCAACGATTGGGAAAGCTTGTTGGGTCATTTCCCCTGAGTGGTCATGAGACAGTGCCCAACCCAGCAGGTGTGTCCCTGAAGTGCATCTGTCATCAGAAAGGGAATTCCTTCTCATTGCAAATGAAATGTGATTGCTTGTCAGGTGAGTGAGTGCCCATGAGCCCTGGGTCCCTGCCAAGCCTGGCTGTTGGGAGCATTCTGGGATGTAAGGGAACATTCATTTCATTGTGAACCCAGGGAAGGAAATTCACTGTAATGCGATTAATATGATTAACATGATGAAAGATGCATCCGTTTCACACTTTTAGGTTATGCCTTGAACATTCAGAAGAAATGTGAAATTAATTGATTAATATATCTAAATTCAAAAGAAACTCCTAATGGACTCTGCTATGTCCTGAAGCGCTACCTGAACATGAAATTAACATGGTAAATTCCCTCCTGAGTAGAAGGCTTCTTAATTTTTCTCTGGTCACCAAATCAAGACATTTCTAGAACAAGTGATCTGATTTCAAGATCAATGGACAATAGTGACTTTAGGAGCTGATGTGATGATGAGAAAATAATAGTAATTAACATTTGTGAAGTGTTATTCATGTATTACATCTAATCCTTAGAAGAATCTGATGAGGTAGGTCCTTTAATAATCCTCATTTCACTGATGAGGAAATTGAGGTTTAGAAATGTTAACAAATTTGCCCAAGGTTACACAGCTCATGAGTCCCAGAGCTGAGATTCAAACTAATTCAAACTGACTCCAGAAACTGTAATTTCCTGTCTCTGCAAATTGTCAGAAATAAATTGAAATAAATTCATTCGTAGCCTCTCTTCTTCTTCTCTCCCTCCCTCATCCTCTTCTTCCCTCCTTCTCTTTCCAGACATCATTCTTTTTCATCTCTGTTAATTTTCTTTGCATTATTTAATTCTCCAAAATTGAATAAGTACTTGCTATGTGCTGGCATGATGTTAAGAATCAAGGATTCAAAGATGATGAAGACTCAGATCCTGTCTGAAGAAACTTGAAGGTATCATCACTTCTTTACTGCCATTTTCTCTTCTTCTTCTTTATCTTACTATTCCTCATCTGCCTCATCTTCAGAATCACTGGCAGAGAGAGTAGATGACCTGGGCTACTCTACCAAGACGTCTTAATATGTTCTCTCTGGCTAAATGTTAACTGCTAAAGGTAGAAAAAGCTAGAAAGCAACTATCCCCTTGTCAGGGCAATTCAAGAGAAAGGCAGAACTAAAAAGAAATGGTGCTAAAAATACCACCAAGATGTGAAGGACAGACTGACAGCTAGAGTCTCGAGAATGAGACAGTGTAAACCCCAGGAAGGTGAAAATGACATTTGGTCCATGATCACTGCAGAGTGATAGTGATCTGTGTGCAAGTGTCTATGGAGTGTGTGCACACAAGAATGAGACCATTGGTCAGAGCTCTTCAGATCAATCTGCTGGAAAGATTAAGGGAGGTCGTGTGTATGTGTGTGTGTGTGTGTGTGTTCAGGAAGTGGGGTGGACTTTACCTGCCATTTCAAACTCTGCACCTGCTCATGAAAAATCAAGGCACGTTGTTCTTGTTTGAGCTATTTTTAAACATTCATTTTGCTTTAATATCAGCTGAATGATATGGATTATTTAAAATGCTCAGTGCCCAGGGGGCTAGAGAAATGCTGTGAAACCGTATGAGCTCCTGTGGCAGAACACAACTGCCTTCTCTGGACGTTTTATTCCATTTATCTCAAATGGGCAGAATTTAATGAGAGTTGAGTTCATATCCCTGAGAGGTACTGCCAGATCCAGTGAAGTCATGCATGTAAAAGCACTTTCTAAATGGTTAAAAATAGTCATGAAATCACTTTAAGATCCTGACCTCCAAAGCCTTACCCTTTCTGTTTGAATATTTTCTTAAAATAATCAGTTCTGAGCTAATTTTTAATCAGAAGGCCTCTAAGGTGAAGGCTAACATGGGCTTTCTGCATTTGTAGGTTTCTGTCGTGTGGGACTGCCATGTGGCCCTGCGCTCCTGGGGGCTTCTGCCAATGACAGCTGTGTCCACATGAGAAGCTGTGGTTCTCAGATGCTGTGTCAGACAGTGTTCTCCAAAAAGAAGATTCAATAGGAGATCTGTGTCCTATGTGTGTGTGTGGGGTTGGGGGGAGAGCAGAGAGAGAGAGAGAGAGAGAGAGAGAGAGAGAGATTTATTAAGGAATTGGCTCATGAGCATGTGATAGTTAGCAAATCTGAAGTCTGTGTGCCAGGCCAACTGGCTGGAAACTCAGGCAGGGTTTCTGCGTTGCAGTCTGAGGCAGAATTCCTCCTTCTTCAGGAAACCTCAGCCTGCTCTCAAGCCCTTTAACCAACTGGATGAGGTCCACTAACATTATAGGGGTCAACCTCCTTTACCTAAATGAATATGGAATCACATCTTAGAAATACTTCCACAGCAACACCTAGACAATGTTTCACAACACAAGTGGGAATCTAAGCTTAGCCAGATTCATGCATAAAATTAGCTACCATAGACATCCAGAATCCAAGGGTCTTTGGGGATCATGTCTGGAGCAAAAGTCTAAAGAACTAAAATTCTTACATTGTCTAAGAATAGGGCTTATCTCAGAACTCAAGTCAAACCCATGCTATGTGGTTGTAGGGACCTACCCTGCCTGATTATAACCTCTTGCCTAAATAACACAGACAGTATGTCTGCCAGTAGCCAGCCTTGTATTGGACAGTTCATCTTCTAGGGTCCTCAGTTCTTAGCTAATCTGGGTGAGGCCAAGTCTTGTCCTGCTTCCTACAATCTTGTGGAGAATTTATTGATCACAAATATATATATAAACACACATATGTGTATAATATACACACATATATATACATACATGTATACATATGTATATACACACATATACACATATATATGAATATATATATTTTGTGACGAAGAACTGGGGTATAGGTCAAAGGTGTGGGGGGGTGAGAAATTTGCCACATACAGAGTGGGGACTAGAACAGGCAGATTTACTGAAATATACTGCTGAGGGGAGCAGCAGGCGAGACAGGAGAGGTCTGCTGCATCATATGTGGGTCAGCTCCCTGGCCAGGGATGGAACTCAGGCCTTAGTGATGACAGTGCTGAGACTTAACCTCTAGGCCACCAGGGAGGCCCACTGATGACAAATATTTTATGTCCTTTCTATGGGAGGATAATCCATCCCTACACCTGTTGAAACTGGGCATGGCCAATGACTTATGTTGTCTTGTGAAATGTAAGCAGAAAGAATGTGTCACCCCTATGGCAAATTTTCAGAGCCAGAGCTTGGCTGGCAATGTTTCTTCTTGTCTTTGCAGGCATGCAGCAAATGTTTGTTGGAGAAAGAAAAATGAAAGGAAAAAGTCCCAATTAGGAGTAGTGGTAGCCAAGGCCTATTCCCAAAGTTTCCATTAAGTAGCTGTGGCATAATTATTTTGCTATCCTAGTGGCCACACATGGCCCTTAAGATTTCCTTCATTTCTAAAACCCTGCACAGATACTGTGGAAGTGAAATGATGATTTGGATGTTCTCCCTGAAGCACCATCCCAGCTGGCCCTTGGGTGCTTCATGGGGTAGCTAACAGACAAGTTATTTTAAGTTGCTGCCCCTCAGACCATGTTTTCTCTGGAAGCTGCATTTCATTGCTCTTTCTCAGGCTTTTCCCCATAGAGATCAGAAAAAGGATCAGAAAATATGGATTCCTGCAGAGAGGGGCCTCATGACTCTTTGAGCTCCAGAAGTGAGGGAATTGTTCCTTCAAATTGCTGTCAAAATTTACTCCTAATGGGTAGTCTTCATAGTCCCTGGAGGCACCTCCTCAGAGTAATAGGATGCCTTCAATGGGCAACTGATAAGCCTGGGTTGTGTCTAAGATTTGGGGGGGGGGTAGGGGCATCTTTCCAGTGGGATCAGGTGCTCTCCAAGCCCTTAACTGGAGGTGGTTTCTTAGCATGATGTTTCCAATCCAGAGTCTTGGCATTGCTTGGTGCCATGGGGCAGACATGCTGATGCTTCTGCCCCCGGGCACCCCACTGTCAAAAGTCTTCTGTGCACAGGAGGAAGTAGACTTTACACTTAATTCATCAGGTTAAAACTGACTGTGGTGAAAGAAAGAGGGATGGAGTTGAAGGGATACACACGCCACAGGCGCCCTGAGGGTACCATTGCCTTTCCAGCTTCTCGGGTGCTCCCTGTGGCTCGTGTCAGATTCCAGGGCATAGCCTGTGCATGTGCACCAGGGCTGCCGCTCCGTGGTGGGAGGTGTGTTACCTAAAACCAGGCGCTGACCTCAGGTCAGAGCTCTTGAGTGTTTAATATCTCTGCTGTTCATGGCTAGCTGGGTGGCCTCTGAAATATTATTTCATGTCTCCCGGTTCTGATTTCTTCTATTATATGCTACCCCGTGACCCCGCGGTGACAGTTCACTACTTAAGAAAAATGGTGCCCGCTGAATGTTTTTTGTCTTCATCTAGGGGAATATAAGGAGGGATTTCTTGCTTGGGGATAACCCTGTGAACCGAGGGCCATAGCTGATCTCATCAGCTACCGCAGTGATTATAATCATAGAAAATTTCTCCTTCAAAAAATTAGTTATAAAATTTATATTTCTGCCTGATTGTTCAGAGTAAAATATAAATTTTAATGACCATTTGTGTTAAAGCTTTGTCATAATAGTCTATTTTATTGACCTTAAACTCAAAAACTAAAAATATTCTTACATAGCTTAAAGGTACATTATAGATTATTAAATCCAACTGTATGGTTTACACACTAAGCAGTTAAGATGTGGGGAGAGATGACTGGAACAGTTACCCTCAACTTGTTAGCTACTGAGCTGGTGCTGCAAAGCAGGTCTTCCGATTCATAAACAAATGCTTGTTCCTTCATTTCATGATGACCGGTCTTGGAAAATGGAACTTACCTATAACAATAGGACAAAAGAAAACAGTATTCTTTGCTTGAGTTTCAGGAACTGGATTTTTAGAATTAAATTGTTTCTGGAACATGTTATAGAGAACTTAGTTAATTTATGATGGTTAGAAAGCACTTAAATCACTTTTAATGGTTATGCTTATGACTCCTGGTTATGGGTTCTTCTGGAGTCT